CCGGAACATTGGTTAGTTATTTTTTTTAGTATCTTGGGCATAATAGTTGCAGTAAGAACGCAATCACTATTAGGAGCATTAAATTCATTCGTGTTTTAATTTTGATGGGTGATTGTACGTATTGTGTTGGTTGATCCTGAAAACGAAGGAAACGCAGTTTTAGATGTGTGGCAGTAATGTTGTAAATTTTTTTGTATGAATGAAATAGGATGCGTTAAGCGGATGTTTTAAGACGTATCATTAATTTTACATCTCGCCGTGGAAGTAGATTTTAGCAAAGCTACTTCAAAGGACTTTGGGATCAGTAGCTTTTTATTTTCATGGCTACCTACCAAACTGAAGCCATAACAAGGATGCATACCTTATCAATGAGCTGGGCAGCCACCGCTCACAAATAACAACAGTCACAACTATTATAATTTCCTACAAAGTCACTAATGTTAACATTTTTCGATAGCGTATTTATTGGGGGCCCACTTGTTTGTCAAGATCTCTTTGCTGTTGAATGCTCAAAGTCGTTGTCATTGCATGTTACAACTTTATTTGGTTTAATTGAATCTGAGACTTTAATTTTCGGATTTTGGGGCAGTAGTTTTTCTTAAATGTTAACTTTTGTATTTCTATAGTTTGGACACCATCTCTGTTGTGAAAATCCTACGAGTCTCTCGCGTTCTTCGACCTCTACGGGCAATTAACAGAGCCAAAGGTCTCAAGGTAAGACACGCCTACGTGTTTTCCCTCAAACCAATGTCTGCTCCTCTAATCACAATGTCAGAATTTGTTAGCCAGACGCCCCTCACTAATCCTCTGTTAGAACCTATCACAGTGACGGGCCTGTGTTAACTAACTCGACAATTTTTTCGCCCATAAAAAGCTGTGTAAACTTCACTTACCTCTGGTAAACCCGTACATGAATATGTTGACTTCCTTCAAATCACGACCCATTTGGAGTGCTAAATTGTTAGTTAAATATCACCAATGAGGCTGAAATTAACTAGGTCGAACTAATTGGATTGAAACTACTTTTGGAGTTGTTGAATCTTTGTCAACTTATGTACTTCAGTGTTTCTGTTATGAATCTACTTTAGCACGTCGTTCAATGCGTGGTGGTGGCAGTGAAGAGCATCGGAAATATCATGTTGGTTACATTTCTCCTAGAGTTTATGTTCGCTGTTATTGGAGTCCAGCTGTTTGCTGGAAAATTTCAGTACTGCAATGATGAGGCACGGTTCTATAAGGAGGAATGTGCGTAAGTTTCCAACACTGCGCCTAGATCCTAGTTTTTTTGGAATCCAGAAGAGAACGAATGGTTTTCAAAAAAAAAACAGTTAAGTAACGTAATCTCATATCAAGCATAACGGCACTGGACTTTGATGACCTACTTAGGTTTTGCGTTCAGATTGGGTTGTGTATTTTGTGCGTCAAAATTATCCACCGCACCAGTATACCGCATGAATCCTCACATGCTTCTAAATTGACTGTCAATGGGTAAAGTTGTGTTAACAAAAATATTGTTTTCAGAGGTCAATTCATTAAGTATGATTCGGAGGATCCGAATTTACCCGAACTAATGGAACGGCGGTGGATTAATTATCCACTCAATTTCGACAACGTACCCAATGGCTTGCTGACTCTTTTTGTGGCTTCTACTTTTGAGGGATGGCCGGCGCTATTGTATCAGTAAGTTGATCGGCTTACTCTTGAAAATCACCAGCCATCTGGGAACACGAAATATTTGCAGCCTCGAGAAGCAACAGTTAAAGATCCATTCTCTGGGGCTCTCATGCTTTGTTCAGGACCATCTCATCAACTACCTATGTAGCTATGGGTTTAACCTAAATTATGGCAGATGCGATCTTCACAGGATCACAAAAAATTTTTGTATGAATCTAAGACTTGTCTAAGTATCACTTTTTGAAAGAAAGGAAGATTTTTATGCAGAATGATAAGCTGATAAGATTATCCAATCATGCCGAAGAAAATGGGTTTCAATGCTCATTCATCAACTTCACTGGTTGCTTGCCTCCATTTGGAGTAGTTTTCCGTTATTTTTGCATGCGAAATAGACGAAAGTGTTTTGTGTTTTATGCAACTCTCACTGTGGGTTACTATAATGTCAGGTGTCATTGGCACGATTCAGTAACGCGATGTGACCTCACTAATGTGGGGAAATCGCGCAGTTGAAATGCTTTGAATGCATCAGTTTATTCTCTTTGGCAGAGTCATAGCGGTGTTGATTTGGAGGGTATGGTGAGGCTCATTGGCTGT